CTCAGGCAGAGCCCCTGCTTCATTCTCCGGTCCGGCATAGACTTCAGAAGGTGAAGGCGGGGCGGGGCAGAGGAGGAGAGCCCCGGACTGGCAGACTGGCCTAGGGCGAGAGGGAGAGCAGGGCGGGAAGGGCGGCGGGAGGCGGCTTTTGTCCCTGTGGCCTGTGGCCCGTAGGCAGCGGCACCTGAGAACAAGCCGGGGTTAAGCCAGGAATGGTGGTGAGTGGGGTCATTTCCGAGGGGAGCCCTGCTGGTCTGCAGCAGAACAGCCGGGCTCGCGTGCGGGAGGGAGGGAGGCCGGCGAGGTCTCTGACGAAGGCGGCGGGGTGGGGGGAGGCGGGCCTTTGACTCTCAGGACTCAGACCACGACAGCCTGGTGGGCCTTGGAGGGGCTCCCCCACTCGAGTCTGGCTGTGGTTAATAAATCCACCTCTGGTCCTGGTTGGAGGTATGAGGAAGGCGGCGGGGTGGGGGGAGGCGGGCCTTTGACTCTCAGGACTCAGACCACGACAGCCTGGTGGGCCTTGGAGGGGCTCCCCCACTCGAGTCTGGCTGTGGTTAATAAATCCACCTCTGGTCCTGGTTGGAGGTACACTGGCCTTGTGTAGTGAATGCTTAAAGACACACCCTTCTTCCTTCCTTCCTTAGAGGTTTGAGCTCCAGGATTCAACAAAACTGCCACTTCCTACAAGAGTTACAAGTGTCAGAAAGAGAGAGACTGACCAGAGCTTCCAGGCTGATGTGACAGTCCACGTAGCTGGGAAAGAAGTGACCTTTCAGGTAATTTAATTTTTAAAAAGCTTTGCAAAAGGGGGAAGCCTTTTCCCCCCAGTGTTGTTGTCCAGAATTTGGCACAGGAACTAAGATTCTTATGTCCAGGAGTGGAGCAGGGCTCACCCCCCGCCTGCCCACCCCCCAATTACCAAGCACACAGAGAGGCAAGTGGAATGAAGTGGTGGTTGAGAAGTTCTGCGTATAAACCATTTAGGGCTTTAAAGATATGTAGTGGCACCTTGCTGTGGTGGCTCAAGGGGTTAAGATGCTGAACTGCAGGCTGTGGAAGGTCAGTAGTTCAGCAGTTCGAGATCCGAGTGTGCCGCATGACGGAGTGAGCTCCCGTCTCTAGTTCCAGCTCCTGCCAACCTAGCAGTTCGAAAGCAAGAAACTGCAAGTAGATAAATAGGTACCACTTCGGTGGGAAGGTAACAGCGTTCCGTGCGCCTTGGTGTTTAGTCATGCCGGCCACATGACCACGGAAACGTCTTCGGACAGCGCTGGCTCTTCGGCTTTGAAACGGAGATGAGCACCGCAACCCTAGAGTCGGATTCGACTGGCTTTCGAGCAAGGGAACCTTTACCTTTACCTTTTTAATGGCACCTTGAATTCCCATAGAAACGGAACGGGAAGTTAGCAAAAGAGGTTCAGGCTGGGCCTCAGACGCAAGCTTATGTGAGGTTTATTTCCTTTTAAAGGGATAAGCCCTTGTTGTTTGAGCAAGGAGGGCTTCGCGTTGTCGGCTTAGTGAGAGAGTTAACGGAGCTCTTAACATTCGCAATCTTCCGCAGGTTCCTGCTGGGACTGAGCCAGCCAATCTGCGTTCTGGGCCAGGGGATTTCATCAGGACTCCCAGCCACGAACAGCTGTTGGCAGAAATGATGCTGTCTCACATGGTTAAAGATATCTGCTTGATTGGAACAAAAGTGAGTGACGCCGTAACACTGTCCTTTGTTAAGTTTCATGCAGACAAAACATGCCAGCCGCTCCTCCTTGTCACAGGGGGGCTTTATCCAGACTGCCTGCCTGCCTCTGAGGAGTTGCTCTGTTTGGGTCGCTGCTTGCAAGGCTGCCGGGGGATGAGGAGTCTGCTGATCTGGGCTTGCTGGTGCCTGGAGATCTCTGGCCTTCACAGCTGACCTCCACGGCACAGAGATCGGCTCCTCTGGAGGGAACGGGTGCTTTGGGAGGCATCCCCTCTCCAGGAATTCCCCAACCTGGACAGGGAACCCTGTAGTGGTCTCATCTAAACCTAAATGGATCAAGGAGCCATCCTTGGTTTGAACTTCACCTCTGCCAAAAATTCAGTAGGAAGCCGCCAACCCCCCCCCCAATACCTGCCAGGCGGGCAGTCGGGGGACATTCGTACGTGGCCTTCTTGACTGCTGCAAGGATTTCCACAAGACAGTATATGTGAATCACTTCGGATAATTTGATGACTGGTATTAATTACTATTACTCATTTTCCCCTTCAGGGCTGTGGTAAAACAGTTGTTGCTAAGGAGTTTTCAGCTGCCTTAGGATACAGCATAGAGTCTTTCATGCTCTATCAGGTAAACTTATTTGTATCCCAAATCACGGATTCACAGAATCAAGGACAGCCTCCCTCTCAGATATTGAGGAATACCCCCTTTTGCAGTAGAAGTTAAATCGTGTTCCGGAGACACACGCGTCAGAGACTATGGGGTGGGTCAGTCGAGGAGGCCGGTGGCTTAAGGGAGGAGGGAGCAGGGCTGGACACTGTTCCTTCTCCACCACCCCCTTCCCCAGGCCTGTGGGGCTAGAAGGTCAGGCACATGGAACAAAGTTGACGCTTGGTGTGTGGCGCTTGGTAGTGAAGCAGAGGGTACTCCTCAAGGGGCTCTTTAGGTTAGACAGGGCATTCTTGGCCCTTTCTGCAGGCAGAACTATCCTACCTAAGTAGGGGAAGGGCCGTGGCTCAGTGGCAGAGCCTCTGCTCGGCACGCTGAAGGTCCCGGGTTCAATCCCTGGGATCTCCCAGGAGAGCTGCTGCCAGTCTGAGCAGACGGCACCGACCCTGGTGGGCCCAGGGAGGTCTGGCTCCGTATGAGGCTGCTTCATCCTGCTTCTCATGGGCCTGTGGAGAACATTCCTTGTGGGGACCTGCAGGCGTGCACCCAAGTCCACGGCTGGAATCAAAGGCAGCCTTTTCTCGCCCTTGACTTCATGCCTCGGTTAAAGCCAAAGATGGCTGTTGTGACTGAGCTCTAGCTGAACTCTAACCTTGACACTCACGCTCATTGCCGTTTTCGTTTCTTGAAGGATATGACTGCCCGAGACCTGCTGCAGCAAAGGTACACCCTCCCAAATGGGGACACCTCTTGGAGACCTTCTCCACTCATCACGGCCGCCCTTGAAGGGAAGCTTGTCATTCTTGATGGCATTCACAGGGTCAACCCTGGCACTCTCGCCGTCCTCCAGAGGTCAGTATGGCAAGGGTAGCAACTGGTGGGCCTGACGAACGTTCACCAAATATGCAGATGCTGAGGCAGGCACCCTCTGGAGTGATGGGTTCATGCTAGCCGGTGCCGCTGTGGCATATAGGGGCAGCCAAGCATGGTTCAGACAGAGTCGCTATCTCTGGGAACGAGGGGTTGTGATTGGGGCTGCTGTAGGGAGGCCTCTGAAAGCCACCAGGATTGTACAGACTGCAGCAGTTCTGAACACGTCCCCCTTTCATGAAGGTGGTGGCTTATAGAAGCGGTGCTTCTGGGTGGCCACCGGTCCAACCGCACAGCCCCATAAGTGGGCTTCTGGATAATGTCCGCTGCATTTACGTCATGCATGTCATTCCGGCCATTCTCCCAAGGAGCTCAGCGTGGCATATGCACCGGCTTCCCTTCTGCAGTCTTTATTTATTGATGTTCTTTATGGACAGCCTTTCTCACAGGGACTCAAAGTGGGTTGCACAGTGTTAATTCAGTCAGCAAAATTCAATGAAAAATGCAACGGGGGTTAGGATTGTAGAAGTCTGGAACCAGCCAGAAATCTAAAAACTCGAAACTGAAGCACAGCAAAAGTATTCATAGGACATGCAAAAATTACATAGTAGGATCCTGCTCACAGTAAGCTATGCAAACTAGTATAGACCACAATCCCCAATCATTCACGCATGTAACTTTGTGAACCATTTGGGGCCATGCAATCTACTTCCGGTGCAGAAGAGCCCTCTTGAAGAGTTCAGTTCTGCAAATTTTTGGAAAGCCAGGAGAGAGGGGGAGCCTTCCTGTCCTCCTCAGACCGGCCGTTCCATAAGGTATGTGGGGGGGGGGGGCACCACAGAGGAAGCACGTTTATAGGGGCAGTTGCTGATCTTGCCCACTTGCAGGTTGGCACCTGCAGGCGGCCCTGTGGAGATGGACGAAGCTGTCACGTGGGAAGATAGGGAGGGAGACAGGCAGTCCTGCAGATAAGAGGGACAAAGGCCACGCATGGTTTTCTGTGTGTTAGCCAATCCCTTAAAGTTTGAACCCAGAGTAGCCAGTCAGAAATCTAAAAGCTCGAAACTGTAGCACAGCAAAAGTATTCATAGGACGCATTAAGCAGTGCAAAAATTACATAGTAGGATCCTGCTCACAGTAAGCTATGCAAACTAGTATAGACCACAATCCCCAATCATTCACGCATGTAACTTTGTGAACCATTTGGGGCCATGCAATCTACATCCGGTGCAGAAGAGCCCTCTTGGAGAGTTCAGTTCTGCAAATTTTTGGAAAGCCAGGAGAGAGGGGGAGCCTTCCTGCCCTCCTCAGGCCGGCCGTTCCACAAGGTATGTGGCGGGGGCCACCACAGAGGAAGCACGTTTATGGGGGCAGTTGCTGATCGTGCCCACTTGCAGGTTGGCACCTGCAGGCAGCCCTGTGGAGATGGACGAAGCTGTCACGTGGGAAGATAGAGAGAGAGGCAGCCCTGCAGATAAGAGGGACAAAGGCCACGAATGGCTTCCTATGCGTTAGCCAGTCCCTTAAAGTTTGAACCCAGAGTAGCCAATGGGCAGCAGAGCGGTAAGTGGCATGGCGGGCTCTCTGCCCAGCTGGAGTTCCCGAACCCATTTTGAGGGGAGACAGACGTGCCGTGCCTTACAGTCGTGTAGTCTCAGTGTTACCGTGGCACGGATCCAGGCGGCCAGATCAGCTGTATCAAGGTAAGGGACCATCTTAATGGGCTCAGCTGAATGGGTAGGAAGTGGTTTTTTTACCCTCATAAATCTGTGAGGCAGGTTAGGCTGAGAGTGTATAATTGTTCCAAGGTCACATCGCAGGTTTCCGTGGCACAGTGGGGATTCGAAACCCAGGTTTCCCAGGTCTGACACTTTAACTTCTATACCACACTCGCATTTACAAAGTTGACCAACCCCCCCTCACCCCCCCATGATAACCTGTAAGTGACTTGCAATGAGATCCGAAGAAGAGTTAGGCCCTTCTCAGTGTGGTGAAGTCAGTGGGCTTACAAGGGAGTGGCTGTGCTTGAGATTGCACTAATACCTCCTGTAGAGGCTTCATATCAAAGATATACAAAGAACTGTTAAATAATACTCTTATTTCACCTACCACATACCAATCAGCATGGAATAGAGATTGTGCAGTCCCACTGACAGACAGCATTTGGAATAAAATATGGACTTCTCCTAGCTTTACATCTAACTCTTTGAACATTAGAACACAAGCTCTCAAAATACTGACGTGTTGGTATCATACTCCTTTAAAACTACATCATATTAACAAAGAACACGCACCTTTGTGCTGGAGAGACTGCAGAGAACAAGCTGATTTCATGCACTGTTGGTGGTCCTGCAAAACAGTGAAGAAATTTTGGTTATTAATAAAAAACACCATTAACACAATAACACATGTAAAAATACCTGTATCCCCCGAACTGATACTATTAGATCTATGGCAAGATGATACCATACCCGCAATAAGGAAAGATTTAATTTCAACTTTATTGATGGCTGCCAAAGCAATAATAGCTAGCAACTGGAAAAGCAAAAATTCACTTACCTTACACCAATGGTACATGAAGGTTTGGGAATATTGCACACTAGAAAAAATAAATATCTCTATAAAACCTGAAACAATAACCAAAAGACATTCCCTATTTTTTGCAAAATGGTTAGATTTTATGGAACTTTCACTTGGAAATCCTTCAGTCACTGCTTCTTCAATCCCCCTAAAATACAAAGAAATAATAGCGTTAGTTTAGGATATATAGTTACATTGCTTATGTGTCAGTCCATACACATGTTTAGAGTTTAATGGTTTAAATTGAAGTTTGATTTACTTGCATTAGCATAGATTTATATTAGAAAAAAGATTCTCTATTAATAGAATGTTTTACAAAATGTATTTACCCTGCAAAAGAGAAATGTATACTCAATTTATTTGTATCAAGATTTATATTTGTTTACAGTGTTATGAAAATTATAAAATAAAAATATTTTTAAAAAAGAGAGATTGCACTATAAAAGTGAATGATTAGATTTTACGTGCATTGCTTACATTGGGTCGTACCATAAAAAACAATAGAATTGCTTGTGGAGTCAAGTGCTGTTTAATCTGAGGATCATTTGACTTTTCGGGTGGCAGACGTATTTCCTGTACATCCGGAAGCGGGATTTTTTCATGATACGTTTGAAGGAGAGAGAGCCAGATTTAGAAGCATGTAGTGTCCTCACGTAAGCTGCTGTTTGTGGCTGTTCTGATGCAAGCCCCCGGTTTTGTTGACTGACAAGCATATTTCCTTCTTGTGTTCCTCAGAGTTCATAATGAAGACATGCAAGAATAGCTGACTCTTCTATATAAAGCGATAAGTGGCCCAGGATAAGGGCAGTGATTTCCAAAATTCTTATTTTATGCCTGGAATGGCAACATTTCTTAATTTGTTTTGCATCTGTCAGGCACGGTTGCTGGGGGAGGGGAATTCCTCCAGTGGGGGAGGGGCGAGTGCGGAGTGTGTGTGTGTGGCTGCGCTGTCTTAGAGGCCGTGACTCTTCCGAGGAAGCCTCTCCTCTCGTTCCCAGAGGAAAGTCCTTGGAACTTTTGGTGCCAGCTTGCTTCTGTAGACGATGGGATCGTATATTTCCCAGGTGAAAAGGGGGGGGGGTTTAGAGCCGCTGGAGCTCGGCGGAGCGGGTGTGACGTGTGAGTGGGCCTTAGGAGGGGTTACATTTGAATTACCTATATCTATTATTGTACCCGCCAAAATCTTCAGAACTGACGCCGTACTTGCTTATAACTCAATAAACATATCCCTGCCCAAGAGAGTGCTGTTGAGAATAACTTGCCCAGGAGTCTGACAGCATCCTTCTAAATGGTTTCTTTAGGGATTCAAACAGACTCAGCACTGTATGAAGATTTGCCATCATATAATGTTTTCTCTACTTATTTTGCAGGTTAATTCACGACAGAGAGATCACTCTTTATGATGGTACCATCCTGCTCAGGCAAGATAGATATGAAAAGGTAAAAGAAGAACTTCAGCTTTCAGATGAAAACCTACAGCAAAGGTAACCTGTTGGATAATAATACCACTGGCTCAGAATTCTCCATGGCTATCGTGTATGCAATTATTTCTTTAAAATTTTGGGTGTGTAAAGATTTTATTTGGTAAATACCTAGATTCAAGTCCAGGAGCATCTTGGAGACTAACAAGTTTTTTGGGGGGTGTGAGATTTTGAGAGTCCGGGCTCCCTTCGTCAGGAGTTTTGACTATTGAAAGCTCACCCCCCACCCCCAAAAAATCTTGTTGCTCTCTGAGGTACGGCTGGACTCAAATCGAGCTGTTCTAATGCAGAACACAGCTGCCCTCAGGAACTATTTGCTAGATATTTTTGCCTAGGAAAAAAATATTTCTACTTAAAAAAAAAAAAAAAGCTGTCATCCCTCAAAGGGTTGTGTAGGAAAACATGAAGGGGAGGAATTATGAGCTTCTTGTGTGTGCGTGTGTCTGAAGAAGGATGGCAGCTGCTTTAGGTCTCTGTTGGCCCTCCAGGGCAACTGGTTGGCTGCTGTGTGAGACAGAATGCTGGACTAGATGGACCCTCACTGGCCTCATCCAGCAGGGCTCTTCCGGCATTCTTATGAAGGCCTTGGCCTCTCTGCCCTGTTGTTGGCCCTCCAGGGGAACTGGCTGGCCACTGTGTGAGAGGCAGGATGTGGAACTAGGAGTGCACAAACTGGGAAAATGTAGTTTGGTTTGTGGGTCGTGGCATGCCCAGTTGCGAAACACAAACCCTCACGGACTTTTAGCAGCCAGACAAAACAGTTTGGTTTGTGAGGTGCGTGACCCAGTAGAACAGATCCTACGCAAGCTAGAGACACCAGACTCGCAGGGGGTCTCTGGCTGACTCTCCTCTACCTGCCGTCCAGGTTTGGTGAGGATTGGATTTACGGGGTCTGAGTTATGCCCCCCCTCCCCAAGAAGGTGTCCCCAGGAAAGTGCTTTCTGGGGAAATGACCATCTGGTAGAGGAGAGTCAGCCAGAGATCCCCTGCAAGATTGGGGTCTCTGTCTTGCACAGGATCTGTTCTATACAGAAGAAGAAAAGAAGAGGTTGGATTTATACCCCACCCTTCACTTGGAGTCTCAGACAAATTCCTTCCTCTTCCCCTCCCCTCCCCACAACAAGCACCCTGTAAGGTATGTGGGGCCGAGAGAGCTCTGAGAGAACTGCTTTTTCAAGGACAGCTCTGACAGATCTATGGCTTGCCCAAGGTCATCCAGCAGCTGCAGGTGGAGGAGTGGGGAATCAAACCTAGTTCTCCCAGATTAGCGTCTGCGCACTTAACCACTACACCAAACTGGCTTTCCTGAACAATCCCGAACACTCTCTCCTATACACTCCTAAACCTTCTCTGGTCAAAATGACAGGCAGTTATTTTGACAGGCACAGGTTTAGGAGAGTATAGAATGGATCTTGTGAAAGCTAGAGACCTCAAAGTCGCAGGGGACCTCCTCCGGATGCTCTTCTGCATAACCTCCAAGTTCTCCCCCCCCCATTGCTTTGAAGTTCTGTAAACATTTTGCTTGAGTGGAGGTAGTCTGTTCAGAAATGTATCTGCCCATGAACCTCCACAAACAGCTTGAAAGTTCGTGGAAAGTTGGTGCCAGTTGACCTGCCACGAACTTCACTTTGCCAACCACGAACCCCCCAAAATTTGTCATGAAGTTTAAATGGTGAGCCAGATTGTGCCCGTTCCTGTGCGGGACTAGCTGGACCACTGGTCTGATCCAGCAGGGCCCTTCTTAAATTCTTATGTGTTGGGAGTGGGGGGGAGGAATTGGCTGCTCAGAATTTTCTGCTCGACGTTTATTCCCTCTCCCCAGCTGTTGTTTCACCCATGGAGGATGGGGGATACGAGGTTCCCAAAGTCTTTAACGGCAGCTTTGGCCCAGTGATTCTGAGAAGAGTAGGAAGGCCCTTGGTGCCCGCTGGTCCGGTGCTGTCCCCCAGTCTTGCTTGCCTGGTCTCACTTGACCCTTACAGGGTCCCGGCTGGCAATCGGTCCTCATTAGCTTTTCTCTCAAGCCCATCTTTCAGCTGTGTCTGGCCTGTTTCTCCCTGTTTCTTTCTTTCTTTCTTTTAAATAACTCCTTAAAACAACCTTCTTTTTTTTAACCTTTTCTCTCCCCCCCCCTTTCTTCCACTGTTTTTAAGACCGGGTATACAGCTGCCCTTACGATGCACTTCTCTCCTCTCCTCTCCTCATATCACTGGGGATTAGGATCACACGCCTTCCTCTCAGTCCCCCCCCCCTCCTCCTCCTCCTCCTCCACGGGGATGTCTGTCAGGACAGGCCAAGCAATCAGGACCCTGTTTGACTGTAGGAGGAGGAACAGCAACATCAGAGACAAAAGCTATCGCAGAGAGAAACTACTTGCAAGAGCTGATTGGTGGTCTGTGATTTTACTGCTGCCTGGCAATTTTATTCTGTTTCACCTAGTTACATTTCAGATACTTTTCCTTTTCCTTTTGCCATTCAAATATTACCTGCAGACTTTCTGCTCCCAGGAACGGAGACCACCCTCGAGGCTTTGATCTGGCCCCCTGGGCATGGTGTGTCACGCAGCCTGCCAGACAAGCGCCATGTCACTCTAGTTGCTTATTCAAGATGTTTCCCACTCTGTGCTGGTTTTGCAAACTGGAAAGCAGAGCACTCTAGCTATCCCTGTGAGGATTTTGCTGTGTACGGAAATGCTCAAAGATAGCAAGCTTTCAAACTTCATTCCTCTGTTTTTTGAGGCCTGTACAAGGCAAAACATCTAAAGCTAATTATTCTCCTCCCAGGTCCATTTTCCCCATCCACCCTTCCTTCAGAATAATTGCTTTAGCAGAGCCCCCGGTTGTCGGAAGCGCTACGCAGCAGTGGCTGGTCCCAGAGCTCTTAACGCTTTTCCTTTTCCATTACGTGAAGCCTCTGAGCAAGAGTGAAGAAATGCGAGTTATTAACGAGAAGGTCAGTGTGTGCAAAAATCTGGCCATCTGCAGGTTCTTTCCCCTCCTTCGTCCGTGTGGTTTGGGGGGAGCTGGGTTGTCAGGGCCGGAGCCCCACTCCGGCTTCCCTCTCCGGTTGGCTTTTTTGTATATGGGATGTATAATTGATGAGGGCACCCAGAGGGAATGCTGGTGATATCTTTTATTCATAATACATTCGTGATTCAGACAACCGCTAGGTCCCAAATGTGCCCAGTGCTGCAGTGGAGCAGCTGTTGAAGTTGACACACAAACTCCGTGAGACGCAGGACCCCCGAGTGAGAACCGCTTTCCACATTTTACCCGCGTGTGTGCACCCTTGCTTGCTCTGTGTTCCATGTCTTTTCTATGACCAGAATGGTTGGTAAGCTCTGCCTCAGAGGGATTTCCTCCTCCACTTCACTATGTCCCCAGCTGGAGATCCCTGTGGAAACCGCTGTGCCATTCATACATCCTACGTTGGTGGCTTGGGCGTTTGGGCCATTCAGGGGTCGCTGCAGGCTCAGCTTGATTCTGAGCAGGCATGACTAGTCATGTGGTACGGCCCTCGATTTCTTAGCAAGATGATCATTAGAGCAGCCGTGGCGGAACAGAGAGGATAACAGCTAGATTTAAGAGGATCAAAGAAAGAATGTTTTGCTTGCTTATCTTTATTAAGAATGCTTTATTTTAAGAAGAAATAATTGCCCGGTATGCATCTTGACTGATGCTAATTTTGGAAAACAAAGACCTTTTCATTCCCGTGTGTTGTGTTTAATGCCTTAGCTCAATCTGTCCATCTGGATAAATGTATGTGGAGCTTTGCGTAGGTACAGTTTTCTGGCCAAATTGTTTAGTGATCCTTAATTACTGGTAATGAGTATGGGGGAATATAGGCCCTCTAGGCGAAATTGGAAAATGTCCAGGGCCCTGCATCGTCTGAGTGAGTCACCGTGTGCAGACTGAGGGGAGATGCCTGCAGAGGAACAGTGACAGGAGGACATCTGCAGAAAAGGACATAAATAGGCTGTTTGTGCCATGAGCTGGAACGTGTTCCATCGGGGTATCCAGTCAGAGGCGGCTCGGGCTGAGAGTGGGAGGCGGATATAGCAGCGTTTCCCCACACAGATGCCCACGGAGGCCTCTCTATGAAACAAGAGCGACACAATGTGGTGACCTCCATGGCTAACTTGTTTTTATATCCATTAATTAATCCTGCAGCTAATCATGATCTACGTTCTGTGCTTTGATGTCTGTGCCAGCCTTTTTCATTTTGTTTTAAAGTTTGCTTGCTGGATTTAGAAACTGGCTGATGCCGGGTTCCCCAGTGTGGTGGCGCCCCCCTGGGTGCCACCAACACCTTTCTTGGTGCCCGCCAGATGTTTCTGGGGAATGGGTGGGGCCGGGTGGGGCTTTTGCCCAGCGATGGGCTTCCTATTGGTCGCTGGAGACCTGATTGCCTGTGCGGATCTTCACAAATGCTGCTGTGGTAGCAGCTGCCACCCTAGCTCAGAGCTCTTCACTGTGTGGCTGAAGGCGAGCCGTGGCAGCCATTCCCAAGGTGTCTGCAGGCTCAGAAATGGTTAGAAAATGCATTCCCAGAGGTGTGTCCCAGGTACCACGCCTCGTTGGCAGTCACCTCTAGAGAAAATGAACGTTCGTTGAGGGGAGGGCTTGGGGCATCTTCACAAACAGTAGACTGAGACTGTTTGATTTTAGTTTTTAGCTTGTGAGAGATGCCCGAACGGTTCAGGGCCGAGTTACAAAGGAGATGGCAGGCTCAGAAATGGTTAGAAAATGCATTCCCAGAGGTGTGTCCCAGATACCACGCCTCGTTGGCAGTCACCTCTAGAGAAAATGAACGTTTGTTGAGGGGAGGGCTTGGGGCGTCTTCACAAACAGTAGACTGAGACTGTGCCGGCTGGCTGTATGACAGCCGGCCATAGTTTTTGGCTTGTGAGAGATGCCCGAAAGGTTCAGGGCCGAGTTACAAAGGAGATGGCCGCGGTTAAGAACAAGAGGCGAAACCTCCGTCTCTCGGCTCCTTCGGGAGTCTCCAGGGTGTTGTGCTGCCTGTGGGGTGCACTTGGTATCCATGGATGCCAGACGGAGCATCAGCGCAGGCGGGGCTGTTCTTGCGTTTGAGCGCGCTGAGCTTGTCGATGCGCACGCAGTGTGGAGTCAAGGGATCAGGAGCCCTGTGGTGGGGGGACCATAGACTCGCCCCTCTCCCCAGCAGCTCCCTTCTTCCAAGCATCGGCACTCACCCTGGGAGCTGTTTGGCCCCGGGTCGGTCCTGAGGATAGAGTCACAGTTATTGCCAACCGGGGCTTGCTATGCGTAGGTCCTTTTACGTTCTGACGTCCAGACTTGCGACTGTCAGCCTCACTTTTCTTGCTGCTGAAGTAACAGTTTATCATCAGCGCTCCTGTTCCCTGAACTAAGAGATCTCTAGCAACACAGTAGAATAGCTCCAGCGTCGTGGTACCTGTGCGGTCCTATGTGGGTTACTGTGCCCACGCAGGCCTGCCCCAGAGAGACTTTTGAAGCTCAAGAACTCTAGAGGGTGCTCCTTCCCCCTCCCCCCAATGCTTTCCTGCCTCCTCCAGTGCAGAAGGGGTGTGTGTGTGTGTGTGTGTGTGTGCAGAACACCCTAACCCTTCAGTTCTCCCTCTGCTGCTGTGGAAAGAGGTTCCGTTCTTTGAAGGGCCATGTGAAGAAATCACAGCCGTTGGGCCTTTTCTGTGCTTTTGCAGAACTAAACCAGTACGAGGTGACTTTTAAAGCACATCTGTGTCTGTTGTGAGCCTTTTCGGGGAGGAGCCTCTGAAGCATTTTTCCTGGGAGATGCCAGGGTAGGAGTGGCTTATGCTGTTTGAGGAGTTAGAAGAGAAGAAGAAGAAGAGATTGGATGCATACCCCATGGCCCTTCACTACCCGAAGGTGTCTCGGAGCGGCTGACAAACCCCTTTCCCCTCCCCTCCCCACAACAGACACCCTGTGGGGTAGGTGGGGCTGAGAGAGCTCTTGACAGAAACTGCTCTTTTTCAAGAACAGCTGTGCCAGAACTATGGCTTGCCCAAGGTCATCCAGCCAGGTGCCAGTGGAGGAGGAGTGGGGGATCAAACCCTGTTCTCCCAGATTAGAGTCCTCTGCGCACTTAGCCACGACACCCAACGGGCTCTGGAGGCTCTGGAGGCAGTCTTGGATCAGTTGGAGTTCACGATGACGGAGTCCGTCTCTCCTGGATTCAGTCACGGGGTTGTGCTTGGACAGTTGATGGAAGCAATGCTGGGCAAACCTTCCTCCCATAGAGCAGCTTTAAAAGTCACCTCATGCTGGTTGAGTTCCGCAAAAGCCTGGGAAAGCCCTGAAGGCTGCGACTTCTTCACGTGGAGCTTTGCAGATGAGAACCTCTCTTCACAGCGGCAGAGGGAGGATTGAGGGGGAGGTGCTCCACCCCTCCTTTTATGCTGGGAAAGGTGGGAAAGAAGCACGGGGGCTTGGGGGGGGGGAGCGCCATCTAGAGTCCTCGAGCTTCAGAATTTCCACGCGGCAGGCCTGCACGGGTACAGACGCTCACGTGCGGCTCCACAGGTGACCATGGATGGGAAAGCAGCATGGGGGCTTGGGGGGGGAGCGCCATCTAGAGTCCTTGAGCTTCAAAATTTCCACGCGGCAGGCCTGCACGGATACAGAAGCTCACGTGCGGCTCCACAGGTGACCATGTGGTATGCAGCGTGTACAGGTAAGTGCAACGTGTTGTCTCTGATCCAGTCTGTTCTCAACTTTTAGACCTACTGCAAACATATTTTGGAGAAAGGATTGCTTCTCGCGTAAGAAAGTTTCCCTCCTAAGCTATAGATGAAGGACTACTGAGTGAAACAATTTCTGTTTTGCGCAGGCACAGTCATTAGCATCATCCTTGTCCACACGGCAGCTCCTGAGAATTTGTCGGCGACTGTCTCACTACCCAGATGAGAGCCTCTACGACACGATAAATAAAGCTTGTCTTTCTAGGTACATATCTGTAGTGTTGCAGCTTTTAAAGTCCAGCAAGGCCAGAGACGGGTTCTCTTCCTCCTTCCTTCAGTGTGTGCCCAAAGGCTGGCTTCTCATAGGCCGAGCAGGTTCCATCTCTCCTGCCTCTCGCCACGGAAGGTCCGGGCAGAGAGAAATCCGTGCGTGTTGAGACGAGAAACCCTGACCAGCGTCTGTATTTGGGATTCTCCCAGGTGACCAAATTTGTTTATTTGGAAAAGGGTGTGTGCCATTTCTTCATAGAACCTGCTTTTGAGGTAGGTGACAACACAAAACATGATTGAGTTATGAAGTATGTATCATTTAAAGAATTAACAGCCATTCAAAACCCAGTCATTAGAAACCATAAAACATTTAGCAGCCTGAAGTACATCAACGACTCCTCAGGCTACGGACATGATTTTAAAAGCTCTCGGTCCCCTAACTGCAAGCGCTGCTGAACAGCGCGTGGCCGTGCAGTGTTGCCCCCCCGCTGCAGTGGGTCTCAGTGGCATAGGGGTTACCCTGTGCCTTGCCTGGGATGGTCACCACCTTCCTCCCGTGGACCCCCCTCCCCCCGTGTGCAGTGTTGCGTGAGCAGTTGGGAGAGGGCCCCCCCGGCCTTCCTCTGCAGCGCTTAGACCTTAGTAAATGGTGATTGCTTGTGAAGAGAGAAGTTTTACTGTGTGAGACTTACTTCTGAGTAAGCATGCAAAAGACTGGCTTGTAAATGACTTGTGTTTCATATTCTGGATGTGTGGGGCTGGGGTTATTCATTGTGGAAGTACAGAGGCTGCTCATATCAGGATGCTAAAAGTACAGTAGCCTCTACAGTCTGTGACTGCAAAATGCAGCAGAAAACTCTTCTGGAAATAACTTTTCCCCCTTCTCTCTCCCCCCCCCCCCTTTCTCATTAGGTTTTTACCCAGCCTTGCAGCGTCTGCTTTACATAAAAATCTGCAGGACTGTGGAATTCATGCAAGCCCTGCCGATACTGAAAGAACAGACAACAAGACTTTGAGTTGTAAGCTGATAACACTTCCCCCCTTCTCCTGCAAAAGTGACCACAGTGAATGGAGATGATCCCGCTCTCTGTTGATGTTCCATTGGCAAAAGTCCTGCCTGCTGAGGACTTCTTGCTCTCTTGGGAACGCGAGGGGCGATGACCCTGGAGCCGCCAGGCTGGTGGCCCAGGAGAGTGAGCAGCCAGGCCAGGCCAGACCAGGCTCAGGTTCTCATCTCTCGGTTAGACTCGCGTCCAGGAGCACCCTGGAGACCGGCCAGATTTTTTTTGGGGGGTAGCAGCTTTCAAGAGTCTTTGTCAGAAGGGAGCTTTGGCTCTCGAAGCTTTTGCCCTGAAACTCTTGTTGGTCTCTGAGGCGCTACTCGGACCTAGCTTTCCGACATGGATACCCTCTGGAACCATGATCTCTCAGCCGCGCTCTCAGGGACGCGTCTCCAGGTTCTTCCCACCCAGTGCATCTTTGCCTGTGAGCCGTTCTGAAGAGGGCGATGGCAGTGGCCCCTTCCTTTTGCCATTGCCTGACGTGTCTCTTGTAACGTCGGAGGTGAATGTCTTTTGGCGTCCCTGGTTCCTTAACCTTTCCTGCAGAGAAACAAATATGTCAAGCAGCTGACAATAGAGGAAGAGAAATGGGTGTGCGGGGGGGAGGGAGAGAAGTGGCCTCTAATTTAAACCCCACCCACCCCCGCAGTACCTACTTTTAACAAGGGAAGAGGAGGGTGGCATGGAGTGTGATGCCAGCTGATAAGGCCTCGTGGCCTTGACCAGGGCACCATTTTGACCCTTCAGCCTCTAGCTCAAGTTATATTGTGCTTCATGCTTTCGTAACATGTGGGAAATGTTTTACGAGCACGGTGTTGTGATATGTTACTCAGCACTTATTCTGCAAGGAATTCTCCTCTGTTCTTTCCAAGTTTCCTATAAGGACCGACTATTGGTCCACCTCTGGCCATGTCAGTTCTTCACTGGCAGCTGCTCTCCAGACAGAGGCCTTTTCCACTCCCTTTTCATTATCTGAGTCCTTTAACAAGAGATGCCGGGAATTGAGCCTGGGACCTGCTGCGTACTTAGTCCCCCACTCCCTTTTCATTACCTGAGTCCTTTAACAAGAGATGCCGGGGATTGAGCCTGGGACCTGCTGCGTACTTAGCATGTGTTCTGCCATTAAATATGTACATGTTATTTGTCATGCCGTATATTATGTTCCTTACACCTACAACTCTGACCTGACTGAATTAAAAGATATCCGTTGCATCTTGAACTACAATATGCCCAGCTGTGCAAAGATGAGTAATGCTCAATTTCTGCGAAACATCCAGGTGAAGTCAGCTCAGGGATCCTGAGGATTGGTGCTGTTAACATCCCAGTGCACAACAGCCCCAATGAAAGGATGAAAGTGCCTGACGTTCTCTTCTATGAAAACACGCAAGTGAGTGTGTCTTTCTGAACAGTGGTGGTCTGGTTTTTTCATAATAAAGAGTTGACAACAAATAAGGCTATTTCTTTAGGAGAGAACTGCTAGTTTTACCTGCTAGTTTGTTAAATAATTTTAGAAGTCAAGATCTACGAGCCCAGATTCTAAACCTTGCCTTACTCTTGATTTTACAGTTCACTTTCTAGGCAAGGAGCAAGCTACCGCTTGTCGGCAGTATCCCAGTTCAGATATCACAACAAACTGCAGTTTCTTTCTAATCATAGAACACCCTCATTGCTGTGAAAGTATTTCTTAATCTCAAAAAGTCAGTATCTGTTCACATTATTTACCTGCGCCTGCTGTCTTTGGATATGCTGGAAGGCATTTTGCCACCATCAGGGTCCACACGCAAGAGGGGACGGGAAGAGCCAAGGAGAGAATGCGAGCTCCGCCAGCAGCAAGTGGGTTGTTCATGCCCCCTCACCTCCGCTTACTGTAAGATCTGAATGCAGCCTTTTGACATCTGTCTTATGCAATGGAGATAATGTTTGAGTCCAGTGGCACCTTTGAGACCAACAAGGTTTTATTCAAGGTACGAGCTTTTGTGTGCACGCACACTTTGTGCACACAAAAGCTTATACCTTGAATAAAACTTGGTGCCACTCGACTCGAACTTTGTTCTGATGCTTCAGACCAACACGGCTACCCACCTGAATCTATCACAATGGAGATAATGTTAATATAGGCATTTAGCAACTTGGAGAAAACAGAAACACTAATGTACCAGAGGTATAAGAAACACACACACAAATTAGTGTGTGAGATCTAACATAAGACTCAATGGTTCATGAATATGAACACTCACATAACTACAAAAATGAGCAACAAAATCTCTCCTTATATATAATTCTCTTTTGGTGTGACTCTTTTCTGAACGTTCCATGTGCTCCCACAGCCTTTGGCTCTCTGACCTGTCACTCAGAAGCTGTCCCTATCCACTGGCTGCGTTGCCTGATTCTCGCCTCCAATATTCTAAACAGTTTGCTGCTCCTCTCCCCCCAATAGCCAGTCGGAACACAGAGGTCATTTGCATATGCGGCCTCATTGGCCTTTGCCTCTAACATTCTAAACAGTTGGCTGTTGCTGTTGGGAGTCATTGAATGTGTCCTGAGGTAAAATACATATCCCAATTTTTCCTTAAATGGTCACTGGAGTTGCCAAAATACATATCCCAATCTTCCCTTAAATGGTCGCTGGAGTTGCCAGTCTCCCTGTAGGGACGGGAGATCTCCCAGAAATCACCGTGTTCCCCAGCCACAGCACATCATTTCCCCTACAGAAAATTTCCCACCTATTACAATGGCTGCTTTGGGCAGTGGACTCCATTGCATTATATCCTGCTGACAACCCAGAGTTGGCAACCCTGTAACTGGCTATGGAACCGCTTTCCAGACCCTTGGAACCCAGAAGACATGGCATAGGAGGAGGTGCTTTTCTACCTTAGCTGCCACTGCAAAACCCCAAATCAACATAAGTGAGGGGTAGAGGGAACCATACCTATTACCATGAGGCTGTCCTCCCATACTACCCACATGAGGCAGCAAAATGGCTTGAGACAGCCCTGCCTTATAGCTAAGCAGAAGGAAATAAACATGGCTTGCCTCTTAAATCTTAAATAATCTTAAGTCTTAAATAATGTCAAATATTTTTCATATCCTTGTGAAAAATAGATTTAACTTCCTCTTATTTTATTAAATTTGCATAATTTCCCCTTTTATTAGATGAGTTTAATTAATTGATACTATACTCAATTTCCTAATCTCAAGTAATAAAATTGGCAACTACCATGTTTCCTATTTTTTTTTAATTAATTTGGCCTTCCATTATCCTCTTTCGTGGTCTGAGTTTTTGGTTATTTTCAGATTAGGCTTGTGTGGTGTACATTTTATAATTTCTAATAATTGCTGAAATTCCTCAATTTTATGATCCATTGTTGTCAAACTCGGGTCTCGTTTGCCATGGTTCCTGTTGCTCTTTTGCTGTTCTTGCGTTCTGTATGCCTATTGTCTCATGTCATTCTGGCGGGAGGGGGTGAGTGTGCAAGTGTGTGGGTGTGAGGACTGCTTTGCTAGAAGGTGCGCGATCTTGTAATGGCATTAAGTGGGTCCTTTCTTCCCTGGGAAGAATGCGTGCTTGACCTTGGAAGCCAGACACTGTTAGATATTAAGCTTGCAGGGGATGGGGGAGGGCTAACGGTGCATAGTATATTTTGGCAGACTGGATGTGTTTGTGTGATTGGGCTAGTCATATGGGGGGCCCCTGTTTGTATAATATCAGAACTGATGCCCAGAGGGTCAGTTCTGACACAGATAGTCTTAGCTTGACACATTCTTAGCTTGACACAGTTTGGTGTAGTGGTTAAGTGCGCGGACTCTAATCTGGGAGAACCGGGTTTGATTTCCCACTCCTCCACTTGCACCTGGCTGGATGACCTTGGGCAAGCCATAGTTCTGATAAGAGCTGTTCTTGAAAAACAGCAGTTTCAGTCTAGAGCTCTCTCAGCCCCTCCTACCTCACAGTGTGTCTGTTGTGGGGAGGGGAAGGGAAAAGGAGTTTGTAAGCCACTCTGAGACACCTTTGGGTAGTGAAGGGTGAGGTATAAATCCAATCTCCTCCTCTTCTTCTTCAATAAACAAATCACTGCCAAGAGAGTGCTGTGGGGAGTAGTTTGTTCAAGACTCTGACAATTATCCATTCATTGTCTAAAGTAATAGACAGTTCATTTAAAGGAGACACTCAAGAAATAAGAGATCTTTCGTTATGGAGAAACAATACGAGAAATATCTGGGTAAAGATGAGTTATAATTTCCATCTTTGTCCCTGTTTTATTATTGTTTGCAATAATCTGCCCTTCCCTCTTAAACTAATCCACTTTACTAGTAAGTCACATGCCAATTCTTTTCTGTTTGCAATAAATGGAAATGTTCATTCTACATGATCAGATTCTAGATTTTAGAACTTTTTAAAAGTCTCTTCTGGAAAAAGGTCTTTAGGTGGTATGATTTTAGTTCCTCCACATTCCTTCTTTTAAATATTATTTCCTAATTTCACCATCTTAATTCCTACCAGCTGGCTCTTAGGCTCCTCAGAATTCTCATTGCCTGCAGTCTCTGCTCATCAGTGATGTCCAGATTCCAATAGTTCAAAACCCCAACAGTAAAAAGAAATCAACCTCACTAGGGATGAACCTGCAGAATCTGATCATCCTTAACTGGAATTGTGATGGAATCTTCCTCTTGCACTGTACATACTCTTCTTCCTTCCTTCTGGTGGTGGTTATTTGATTTGTTCTGATCTAAGGTGGCTGTTCTAAAAGTCTTATCAGTCTATAGGTGTAGCCTATATTAAGCCTATTGTGTAACCTATGTTAAAAACGGTTACTGCTTCCTTACAAATGGGTGTTAATGCTGTGCTTCACTGAAATGAGTGCATATATATTAAGAACAGGAGCAATTGTGCTTCAGCTTTCCTTTGCTTAAATGAACTGCACAAAACGGTTTATTTTCATTCTAGCATATGATGGTGATGGAAGATATGCTAAAAGACTTCTTGCTTGGAGAGCACCTTCTGTTGGTCGGCAACCAGGTGAGAGTGATCCAACAGTCTTACTGCGAGTTGTGTGTGTTTTTGATTTGATATAGAACAAAGTTTGAGTCCAGGGGCACCTTTGGGGCCCTCAAAGTTTAATTCTGGGTACACGTTTTTGTGTGCATGCAACTGATACATCTGATGCAACCAGGGTAAGTGGACAGAGGCTATTGTTTATACTGTGCTTTTGTCACTGGGAGTAACACAGCTGATTGTATCTTCTGTGAGAGCCGGCTCTGCCCTTGCTGGTTTCGCATCATTTGGCTTTGCCCGGGTTTTGTTTGTGTCAAAAGCGAAAACCACCAGCTCATGCTGTATGAAGCCCATATACAGGGTTTATGTAGCATGTGCTGGTGGTTTTTGCTTTTGACTTGTAAATTCTACGCACCAGGCCTGTTGCTGGGTTTTGTTTGAGGCAGGCCTTTTTTGTCCAGAGTTGCCTTCACACTCACTTCCCAGTGGAATCCAGAACAGATCAGCAAACGATGTCCAGTGCAGCCACCTGCCAGATAGACATTCAAGTTCCTGTTCCTGTTGGACTGTCACCCTAAGCCTGTTTCACCAACCTCGGAAACCTGGATAAACCACCAGGTCCAAGTCCAGGAGCCTGTTCGTGACCAGCAAGATTTTGGGGGTTTAAGCATTTGAGAGTCCCGGCTCCCTCGTCAGGTGTCCTTTGGATTCTGAAGAGCTCTTGCCCCTGGGAAACCTTGTGGGTTTGTGAGGTGGCCCCTGGACTTGGGTGTGGCTGTTCCACGGCAGGCTGACGTGGCTGACGGTCCCTCCGAAACTGGCTTCTGAGCAGAGAGGAAGGCTTCTTGGTCAGCTGTGGAGGCTGGACGGTGCCCAGTGACCACTCGGCTAGTGGTTTTCAAGCCTCGTTGCTACTTTGCCCTCTGACCCTTGCATATGCCATTCTATCGTCAAGTTATTTGTAGAGTTGTTGAAACTTAGTACTCTCTCAGAGCTGGAATTGAGTGTTTGCCCATGGGTACCATTTGTTACTAATATAATTTGTAACAATATTTTCTGATTTGTTGTCCCTCTTGTATTGTTCACAACAAAAAAAAAATTGTACCTGGAATGCAATAGATGGAACCCACCCACCCCCCAAGTTTACTGTGGTGGAGTGGAGGCGAGGTCCCTGCGCATCCTGGAGAGAGGGGGGTCAGGAGGACCACGGAATAAGGGGGGGTGGGGTGAGAGCAGAAACCTGCAAACAGGGAATGATTTTTGCCCTCGCCAAGACCTTTTTAAAGAGGTCAAAAGTATTCCATATATTTACTGTGCCTTTTGCAAATGCAAATCATTATGCTGGAAACAATCCGGACTCCCAGTTTCCTTCTGAATCAGTATTCTGTATGCATTTCAAAGATTCTGAGTATTCTCTTTTACACTTTATAAAAACTGTAGTCAGAGGGCCCCTCCCAACCCCTGGTTCCTGTTTTCTTCTTGGGACTCCCAGTTTCCTTCTGAATCAGTATTCTGTATGCATTTCAAAGATTCTGAGTATTCTCTTTTACACTTTATAGCGTCCCGAGGCAGCGTACGCCGTGCCCATTCCCAGTTCCTCGTGCCAGATGATGCTGCTGAGTTAGCAGGACTCCTGAGGCTCACTGTGTGTCTGCACTGTGGATTCAGCTACCAAGGAACTGGCTCAGAAATTCTCTCTGTTCACTTGGGAATGGAGCACGAAGAGGGGGGGGGGTTCTGTCCGGGCTGGATCATCTTATTGACACACAAAGTGGGGGGCCTGTGTGTAACATGAAGAAAAAGTGGCGCCTCCCCATCCGTCACTTCTGCAACTTTTTTCCCCGCTTGCTCACTTGGGGATCAGAACTCTTAACACAGAGACGAATCCTCCCTGTAATAAACTTGGTGCCTTTAAAGGGAAGAACTCCCCAATTGATGGACAACGCACACTCAGGCATCGCTGGGGTGGTAGATTCTCTCTCTCTCTCTCTCTCTCTCTCTCTCTCTCTCTCTCTCTCTCTCCTCTCCTCTCCTCTCCTCTCCTCCCCCC